TCTATCTATCTATCTCTCTATCTCCCTTCATCTTGCTTACCATCTTTCTAATGCTCACGATTTTATCCTTACGTCTCCCTTGGCTTCAACCATACGCGAAAACGGAAAAGATTTGGGTAAGACATCCGTGGCCTGCGATCGTTACATCCTCTAATCGCTCAAAGCTGCAATGTGTAATTTATTAGCCATTTACTTTAGAATATAAAAAATTAATGATTATCAGTTTTACATTTTGCACATTCGTTGGATTGCGTATGGAAAAATTTATCAAATACATAAATGAACAAGAACTTTGGTAAATCGTCGGAATATTTTTACAAAACTTCGTAAAGTCCATTTTATTTATAAATCTGAAATTTTGTTTTTATTACATTTTACTTAAATTAAAATAAACGTTCATCCGATGGAGACGTTGTTTTTCCTTTGCTACAACATATATTTGCTATTTTTAGATCCCCGATCCCCTGAACTACTAATGTCTAATTTATTAAATAATGACGTAGAAAATAAATTAAACTTGGGCAATTCTTACCTAATAATTCATTAATACTCGTGTAAGTAGTGCGAAATAATCGCGAGTTATTTCTACTTATATCAATCAACATATCTTTACTTAAATTAAACAACAACAACAACAACTTAAAATAAAGTTTTGGCTAATTTAATAAAGCTAATTAAATGAATTTTTAGCCTTGTCACTTCAATTTACAATTAATGAGCTAATGAATTTTCAATTACTAAGCATTCCCTTCAAGTTGATCATTCGTAAACTTTATAAAAATTAAAACCAATTGAATGGTAAAGATTTTTAAATGTAGGAGCAATTATAATAGCTAGCGCAAACAGTCTAAATGAATAGAGAATGTATTAAGAATATATCGCGTATTTATTAAGCGTGCGTGTACGGGAATTGTAATATCGAGGAATATGATGGGCCAGAAGGGCATGAGCCACTACTGTATAAGCCATATGTTTGGCAACATCGAGAAAGAATCCCATTTTAACGGCGAGTATGAAGGCTGGCGGCACATAGGCGCTAATGTCTTCATTCTTATGCGACTCGCTGTTAATGAGGGCGTGACACGCGTTTATTATTATTGCACCCCATGAATGAAAGCGGCGTTTAGCCAAGAAAGGAGTCCTAATATTCCTAATATTCCTAATATTCCCCAGTATGGGGAAAAGTAGACGCTGAAGGGAAAGTCATAATGTCGTAAATTGACATTGAGATGATGAAAGAGGAGAGCACGCGCGACAGAAAGATGTAGGACTTTTGCTTTTCCTATAACATTTATCTCGGATTCTTATTAATAAAGTTCCGTCGATATTTTTCATGGACTGGCTCAATTTATCAGCGTCTGTTTTGAAATTTTTGTTATTGGCTTCGTAACTTTAGCTACGTTATTGTTTTCACTTATTTCTTCTGAAATTGGTGGGAATGAAGTCGCTACTAATGGGAATGAAGAGGCATTAAAAGGTAATTAACTCGTGAAACGCTTCCTCTGTAATTCAAATAAATTATGCACCTTTGTACCTACATATCACTCTCAGAATTCAAATTCACGCTTTACCATTATAATACAAGGTCAAACTGTCGATGCGCGTCATTAATCCAATAGTAGAATTGGACTATTAGTTGGTGTTTTGTGTGTGTGTTTGTTTGTTTGTTTGTTTGTTTGTTTGTTTGTTTGTTTGTTTGTTTGTTTGTTTGTTTGTTTGTTTGTTTGTTTGTTTGTTTGTTTGTTTGTTTGTTTGTTTGTTTGTTTGTTTGTTTGTTTGTTTGTTTGTTTGTTTGTTTGTTTGTTTGTTTGTTTGTTTGTTTGTTTCTTTGTTTGTGTGTGTGTGTGTGTGTGTGTGTGTGTGTGTGTGTGTGTGAGAGAGAGAGAGAGGAGAAAAATAACTAGTGCTGCCAAGTTCTAATAACATATAGAAAGGATAGTAAAATGTTGTTGCACTTCTCATTAGCGGAATACCATTGAAACTAGCCGCACTTCCATTTTTTGTCAAGTGCTATAAAAATGAAAGCGTATTCGCGCCTTCGGTAGGGTCTGCTTCCATGAAAATAATTCAAGCGCCGAAGGCAAAGTAGAAGACAGAGTGTTCAAGAGCTCGGATCGGCCATTCGACGAGTATGGAGGAATGTCGACGCAAACGAAGCAACGATTCTCTCTCGGTTTGTCTCGCGCCTGAAAATGAATAGGATGCAGCGACCGAAGACGAGTGCAGTCTGCAGTGACCCGGCGCCGCCAGTTCGCCCCGTTCTTATTGATTTTCTCGCTCGATAAGCTCGGTGAGTCTGGCTGGCTGGCTGCAGTCCGCGAGAACGTGGCGCGAGGCTGTTAGTCGCTATTTTTCTATCTTTGGAAAATAAATATCGCTGAGTTATGGGCCGAGCGGGCACATAAAACACGCCTTATGTATTTATCAAAATATTGTGATAACTTATCCGTGAAGACAGCGCGAAGCTGGTGCGCGACTGCAGATAGGGTAAGGGGCAAGGGGCAAGCCCCGACGTAAGATTTATCGTGGTAAAAACGTGAGGTGGAGGGGGGGGGGGTAAAGTGTCCGAGGTTGCTTGACCGTCGCCATTGCCATGAAGACAGAGAGAGAGAGAGAGAGAGAGAGAGAGAGAGAGAGAGAGAGCCGTTGGTTACTTTCTCTTGCTCGGCGGTATTAGCGAGGAGGTACTTTTTCGCTTTTGCTCCATCCCCTCTTGCGGCCCTATCGTTTACCTCGAGCTCTTTACTAATTTAACGTCCTCGAGGACGCTGCTCTTTTAGACGACGCCTCTGTAAATAAGGACGATGGCGAATTAAAGGGTTGGTGGCTACGTTAGGGATGTAAGTCCCTGCCTCGTATATTATCAAGTTTGCCTTACTTAAACCTTTTCGAATATAAACTACAGTGCGAACAAGAAAGCATTTTGTCATTTCGGTGCATTGGCATTTATTTATTTATTTATTTATTTTAATTTTATTTTGTTTTTTTTTTCGTTTTGTTTTCGTTGTTCTGTTTTTCTTTAAACTTTTCATTTCTTACGTGTAAAAAATATACGCCTGCAACAGCTCCGCTTATAAGCCAGAGCCCGAGAAGCGTGCAAACGAGAATGGCATAATATTAATGGCAGACATTGTTCATTCTGCATCTGCGTTAAATAAGTCATGAAAGTTAAAGTGGATAAATTATTGCTGCTTTGTAGCAAATAAAAAATTATTATTTAACGCGTGTATCATGAATCATTAATGGTGTAAAACAACGAATAAAATTTCTTAACGATATCTCAAAATTACGTAAATCGAATTTATCTTTAATCGTAATAATGGTATTTTAACAGCCACTTTATAATTTTTTTATAGTTGGTTTCTTCGCATCGCGAAAGTAGGTTAACTGTTCTCTTTACACTTGGATTATTACAGCTTTTACTGAACGAACGGCCAGAATTACTCATGTTGTAACCTCTTCACATAATACAAAAGCCGATATTGCCTGTCGATAGAATGAACGGTTACTTTACGATTAATAAATCATATCATTAAGTACGTTGTGTTTTGCAAAATGTAAGTAAGAGGACTTAAAATCACCGAATCTATTATTAGCACAAAGCGTTGATTTTGTTATAATATATTGTGACATTCGATAATCAGAGCCTGAATGTATTACGGTAATATAAACGACCAATTTTACACAATATATTACTTTATAATTGATATTATGACTTTAATGCGACGACAAAGCTGCGCTTCTCTTCTAAATAATAGTGAAGGAGTGCGTGATAATCCAATGAGATCCATAATGAAAAAGAAGGAAGGAAAAATAACGTTAGCGCGTAATTTTCCATAAAGCTGCCCTACCACGATCGACCGGTGATTTCATCGTTAAAGCAAGGATGAGGATGAAGATAGCAGCCATAGAGAGAATCTCGTTAGTTACTCGGCCGGCGCTAGAAACAATCGTATTGTATTTTTCCAGCGCTCGAGAGAAATATTCAATAAGGGCAGTCTCGATTGTGCAGCACCGCTGGCCGTTGATTCGAATCCGATACGATTCGAGCGGTTAAAAGGGAGAAACTAACATCGGCTCCGTCATCTCCACTGGCCCACACAACAACCCTTTTCCAAGCTTTTCCTCACTTTCTCCCAGCCCCTCGCTCTGCAAACAAACCACACTATCCTTGCCGTAATAATAACTCCGCGCGCCCTTCGGCTATTGCGCGCCCGATCCCCTTAATCAAAGACTTAGAAAGACTCGATGAAACTCGTCCGCGAGCACTGCCACGGCTTAATCTCCCTAAGTCCTGCCCGAGGACGAGGACGAGTACGAGGACGGGCCTCTCACCCTCCTTTCTCGATCGCCTACATTCCCAATGAGAGTTTCTTTCTTCATATTTTGGTCGATCGACTCCCTCTCTTACGTATGTAAGACCACACAGTCCTTGCGAGATAATCCGATGCTACGCCATCCAGCGCTAATCCCAACGGACTTCCTACTTCGCGAGCCTTTGTCCACTTCAATGTACGTGAGCGAGCGCACGGGTATTCGCCATTCGTTAAGATTGGATTATCCCGTTTTTCCTATTTGGCTTTAAGTAGCTCGTTTCCCTCCTCTTCTCCTCGACACACTGGCATTTCCTCTCCGGCTACCAACAATATAGCCGCGATACTTTTATATCAATAGGAAACTCATAGGAATTGGAATCGCGAAAATTCATAAATATTTTTTGCCAGCAGTCCAAGTGCTTATCTTATCTGATCGAAAGGATCTTACGGTGTCGATATTAGCCGCTAAATCCATAGGGGTCTGCAAAATATTAAATGACCTAACCTATTATCATGTTTCTGCAAGTCGTAGCGGAAATTTTTATAAATCCAAGTCAATTAAAAAATAATGATTAATGATAGAGAAAAATGAGAATGATGGAAAGAAACGTGGAGAATTATCGAGCATAATTAAAGTAATGTCACGAATAAATGTTTAATTTTTATCTTTTACGTTTGCCGTAGGTGCCAATCGGGTCAGGTCGCAAGTTGACATGTTCGAGCAGCATCAAGGCACCCACATCCTACAGGTAAGATCAAAGACACATTTATCACTAATTCATACACTGAAATGTTATAAATGTGTAAAGGTAACATTGCCTGCACTTTTTTAAAATTCGGTTTATCAATGAGTAAGGTCTGGACGCAAAGTGCGCCAAGTACGGATTCGAACGGAAAAGTGTAGGCCATCAAAAAATAAATTATAATTGAATTACAAAGATCTGGGAAGGTATATTTTTACAACAAACATCCGTCTGTTTTTTTGCTTTACAGTCACTCGACGGATTCGCTGTGGCTGTGGCGGCAGATGGACGGTTCCTCTACATTTCCGAGACTGTTTCCATTTACCTCGGCCTCTCCCAGGTGAGTTTCTTCATATACCCTTTGTGTTTATCGCGATCCGATGAGGACAAGCAAAAGAAATGCGCCCAAGAAAGCACGTACGAATGCACCATAGATTAAGTGATCTCAAAAATGTCAACTACAAAAATCACATTTTTTTGAAAAATATGAACTAATTTTCCCGACAAAATTGCTTAATAATAAACAGTCGATTTAAGCGATTATTGAATGGGGCACACAATCTAAAAAGATAATTAATTGTTTACCATACTGCGATATATAACAGATAAAATTAAATAATACTGTAATTATATCAATTTGTATGCAAAAAACTGAAAATATTAATTACAATTGTGTGTGTCTATATATATATATATATATATATATATATATATATATATATATATATATATATATATATATATATATTTATTTATTTATTTATTTATTCAAGCCGATTATTTATTAGCAATTAAATGTAATGCAAATGTATGTATATCAAAAATATTGTGTTACTTTTATAAAGAAAAAATTATATTTCAATTTAAATTATCTTTAAAGGTCGTATTAAGCACTTTCAGTGGTGTTAATTAAAAAATTAAATTCAATTAAATTGTAAACCTGCTGCTGCAGTATACCATAATGTAATGGACAATTTTAATAATTCCGATCGCATAACAAAAAGGACAATGCAATAACGTATCTATATTAAAAACTCCAGTGAAAAATTGCTCGCCGAGGTAGCTTAACTATAAAATAAGAACAAAACTGCTTAAAAATTCATGGCATTAAAAATTTGAGAGAAAAATCGCTGACAGAAACAGAAACTCGAGAGAAAAGAAAAATTTCAGGAGAAGGTAGTCAATACATCGCTCTTTCAAATTTTACTTTACGAGCGCTCGTGAAGAGGAGGAGCTCTCGAGCG